ATGGAAACACCAAAGACGCTTTAATATGTTGTGCGTTTTAATAGACCGGTGATGACCGCACAGAGTAGCATTATAACAGAACTTTCAAATGTATCTAGTATGATAAAACAGCGCTGCTTTTTCCCCCACATACGCACGACCGGAAGGAGCGGAAGCCGTCGACTGTGGCATAATACAAGGTCTGCTGCTTTCGAGCCGTGTGTCACGTTCATTCAGCGGACTCGTTTCACTTCGACGGCTTTCAGCCTCACCCTGCTTCATTCTACTACGTTAATAAATCATTAGCTCATCCATGAACATGATTTCTGCCCGAGTCCCGTCGGATTGCATCGGCTGTGGGGGTGAAGACGACAACTCCCATGATTCCACACTCAGTCACGGCATTGTCAAACTATGCCTTTGTCTCTTTGTTTATTTTGAATACACGCCCTCTAGCACCGAAAAATTACATATTGTGCCTTTTAGCGGCAAAAATTACATATTGTGCCTTTAAGATTTCCTGTCTTACATTAAAGCCCTTTAGCCTTCTCAAAAGAGATAATCACTGTTGAGCTTTCTTATAGACATTATTTGCCTGCTGTGTGAAAGATAAATGCCTGTCAATCTCAGTGCCCAAATATGTAAAGGCCTCAACCTGCTCCGCTACCTGCCCCCCCAGCTCAAGTGGTTCAGATAGAGGATGATCAGTGTTAAATGAACGAAACCTTCCACAACACATCTCCTTAGTCTTACTTTTACTATAAAAAATCAAAACGACGGTGGGGGTCGGTGACGGTGTTGCGGCTTAACACCGGTATCACCGTCAACACCGTCTATCGCGGCAAGCCTACTTGACATGAGTTTTTTTTGGAACTGGAATAATGGTTGTGTCCTTCCATACTCTTGGGACATACCCAGTGTTCAAGGACAACTGGAAGAGTTGACCCACCATCCTGCCTACTTGGGCCGAACACTCTTTCAATAAGCGGCTCTCAAGTCCATCCGGACCAGGAGCTTTCTTTGGCTGTAATTTGGAGAGGATGGAGACAGCCCTTCGTTCCTCCATACTGATTGGTGTAGGGGCATTACTTAAGTCAGTCTGGTCCCAATCCACTCTCATAATTATTCATATTAAACCTAGCATAAAAAGCATTCAGCTGCTCAACAAAGGAAGCAGGGTCTGGACACTGAACTCGAGTTGAAGCCTGGGCTCTTCCCATCATCATATTAAGATTCTGCCATGCCGCCTTCATATTTCCTTTAATAAAACTCTAGACCATCTTGTCTTTATATCGAAGTTTGGCCAACCTGGTTTTATCTCGCAGTTCCTTTCTCAGTGCATTAACATGTCTTTTATCACCCTCCATAAAGGCAGTCTTTTTTAGGTTAATACAATGCTTCATCTCTTTAGAGACTCAAGGTTTGTTGTTTGGGTAAAGAGTAACTTTCTTAGTTGGTATCACATTATCAGCACAAAAAGACATATATGAACAGATGGAATCATTAATCATATCCAAATCGCCATTATTGCTCTGAAAAAACATCCCCCAATCGGTAAGCTCAAAACATCCTCTTAGGGTCTGCACAGAGTCATTGTTCCAGACCTGGATAATTTT